TCCACTCCTCTACATGCAGTCAGCTGGGTGGCCTTGGGTCAGTCACAGTTGTCTCAGAGCTGTTCTCTCAAAAGCAGTTCTCTCAGAGCTCTCTCAGCTCTACCTACCTCACAGAGTGTCTGTTGTGGGGAGAGGAAGGGAAGGAGATTGTAAACTGCTCTGATACTCCGAGTGAAGGGCAGGGTATTAATCCAACTCTTCTTCTTCTTCTTCTACATTTTATTAATGGAAGAAATTGAAAGGATGCAGAAGGAAGCAAAATTGAGAATACAGGGAAGAAGGCTCCCCCCCCCTTTGCAGAACTGTGTAATGCTTTTAACAGGCAGGAAAATGGATCCTTCAGAGAAGCTGGCATCAAAGCTCCTTTAGTATCTCTGCATGGGTCATGAATCAGTCATGGATGACTCATCCTGCAAAAAAGAACTGTAGAAAAGTACCTTAAAGGGGGCATCAATAAATGTACATTCTCACGGGAAGAGAGACCCTTGCTTTCAGACAGATTTTTGAAATTGTTATTCAGTCCAGCCATGTAACCAAGGGCAGCACTGAAGGAAAGGAGGGGAGAATAGAAAACATCCGAGAATTGCAACGTACTTTGCTTTAATCTGTAGATTGTTGTAAATGCTCCATCTCCTGTGTAGGTAACAAAGGAAGGAATGTGTTAGGGCCTGGCCGGTAGTAGACTGTGACATTAGAAGCATTAAAAAAAAGAGAGAGAGAGATGAGATTTATGCGATCCATGTTGCAAAACAGTGTTCCCTCTAAGCTGAGTTAGTGTGAGCTAGCTCACAGTTTTTAAGCCTCCGGCTCACACATTTTTGTCTTAGCTCAGGAAGGATGGCTCCGGAGCAAACTAATTTTTGCAGCAGCCAAATCGCTCGCTCACAACTTTGATGCCAGTAGCTCACAAAGTAGAATTTTTGCTCACAAGACTCCACAGCTTAGAGGGAAACCTTAGAGTTGCAAACATTTTAATTTTTAAAAAAGAATTCCTACACATGTAAACTTTCTGGCTTTCTACCGTTCTCTTGCCAAGGGTATTGCGAGGGTGCCCAGAGAGGATAGGGTTCCTGTGATTTTAATGGCTTTGTGGAGGGAATTCCGGCAGGCCTAGTTTTTCTTCTCATCCCAGCATCACAGACTGTGCTTATTGCCATCTCCCAGTGTGCATGATGTCAAAGGTGAAGGAACCCTGTCCTCCTTTGCATTGGTCATCCTAGAGACTTCCACACTGCGCACTTGCCCGTGCTCCTGGGAAAGACCCCTTCCTATAAAGCAACAACAGGCAGTGGCCCTCCAGAATGCACACTCCACCCTGTAATGTTCATGGTCCTATCCAGGGCTTTTTTTTGTAGAAAAAGCCCAGCAGGAACTCATTAGCATGATTGGCCACACCCAACAGCAGAAACGTATTGGCATATTAGGCCACACCCCTGACAGCACAGGTCATTAGCATATGAGGCCACACCCCTGTGTTACCAGAAGTGTGATCATCCAGCCACACCCACTTTTCCCTTCTTATTCTGTTTACCTTATTTGTTGTCAAAACCTAGGGCTTTTTTTGTAGCAGGAACTCCTTTGCATGTTAGACCACACACCCCTAATGTATCCAATCCTAATGAGTTTCTGATGTTGGGTGTGGCCTATTATGCTAATGAGTTCCTGCTTGACGTGGCCAACTCAGGAGCCAGCCGGAACTCCGCTCCTGTGTGTTCCAGCCCAAAAATAGCCCTGGTCCTGTCAATGGGCCTAGATAGAAGTCTCCAGAGCATAAAAGCTGCAGAGATCAACTAGCTTACACAAACTCCATCTGGCCTCTGAAATAAGCCTCATGAATGAACACCCTAAGAAAAGTTTGGCTTAATAAACTGGTCATTTGATGGTTATGCTGACAGTTCAAGGAGATCTGTGGAGCCCTGAGACTTTTCTGTAGTGATGGTTTTGGTTCAGTGTAAAGCATATCAAGGAGCAGGAAGCAGGTCAGAATTAAAAAAGCACGCCATCTCCACAAATGCTACTTGACAGAGCAAGAGAACATCGTGTATTAGCAGCAGATGAAAGGCTTGCCCGTTTCTAATTTCTTATTAATTTGTTCTTTTTACCCATGAGGCAGACTGGCACAATCTGCTACTGAGCAAAAAACATCAGTGCCTTCCTCCTTCCTACACGGCTCCAATATCACGGACCAAAACAAACTTGAGATCTAGAGCATATGCTCTCCTTTTAGTTTGCTTTTCACAGTCCACTGTGAAACAGAACCTTCAGGCAGTGTTGTCTGTAGAGGCATTCCCATTGTAATTTAACTACCTGTTTCATACTGGCTGGGAGCTGCGGTGGCTCAAGTGGTTAAGACACTGAACTGCAGGCTGTGGAAGGTCGGTAGTTCAGCAGTTCAAGACCCAGGGTGCCGCATGTCAGAGTGAGCTCCCGTCTCTAGTTCCAGCTCCTGCCAACCTAGCAGTTCGAAAGCAAGACATTGCAAGTAGATAAATAGGTACCACTTCGGTGGGAAGGTAACAGTGTTCCGTGCGTCTTGGTGTTTAGTCATGCCGGCCACATGACCACGGAAACGTCTTCGGATGGCGCTGGCTCTTCGGCTTTGAAACAGAGATGAGCACTGCAACCCTAGAGTCGGATGCGACTGGCTTTCGAGCAAGGGAACCTTTACCTTTTACCTTCATACCGGCTGGGAAGTTTCAGCATCATAAAGAAATGAGTCCCCCCCCCACACCTATGGTTGCCAGGTTTCCCTTGGCCACCAGGGGCATGGGGGTGGAGGGTAGGGTTCCCAGATCCAAATTGGGATACTCCTTGAGATTAGGGGGTGGAGTTTGGGGAGGACAGGGACCTGGGGTGGCGTACAGTGTCATAGAGTCCACCGTCCAAAACATCCAGTTTCTCAAGGGAAATTGATCTCTGTAGTCTGAATATGAGCCGTAATTCCAGGAGATCCCCCTCTGACCACTGGCATCCCTACTCCCACCCCATTCACTCACACTACATCTATATGAACTCTCGTCTGCTTCATATTAATTTATCTGTTTCATTATTGCTAAGTCATCTGTTTGCTCAGTTTCATTATTGTGAATTAGAACCACAACTCTGCCTTTTCCAGAAGGGCAGTCGTGTTAGTCTGGTGCAGTAAAAATCATCATAAGTCTTGTGGCTTAAAGACTAAGGCCCATTATGCATGCACAGTTTACTGTGGATTTTCTGAGTAGTCGAGTCCTTAAGCTTGACTTCAGATTTTGTGCCTGCATTACACACCATTCTTTTTTCTCTGGTGTATTTATTCTGCAGCTACAAAAAACACCCACCCACACACCCCACTTTTCTTAATTGGAGTGGGAATGTCATGTGATGTGTGGGGGATGGTGTCCATTTTTTTTTTTAATTTACACGGTCACCTTATTGCAGTTGCACAGTAGCATCAAGTAAGCACCTTCCATTTAAATCCCCGTGGTTAAATCTTTGTGCATGTGTTTTAGCATTAGTTCGTTGAATGAAAGGAAGCACAAAGGAAGGCAGGCAAGGGGGGGGGAACCTCTTGAAACTGACAAGAGCAGCTGCGAAGCCCCGTTTTCCACATTGCCAAGCTCTAGGGGATTCTCTACTGTGTTATTGGCTACTTAGAAAAATGGAAAAGAGTCACACGATCTTATAATATGGGGAAACACGTTGAATGTACTGAATGCCCAGCAGAATCCTGTGACACTGAAGCTAGGCCACACCCCTCGAGATGCAATCCCATCCCCGCTGAGAAAGAAAAAAAAGGGCTCAGTCTTTCTAGGTGTTTCACAGTCTCACTTTAACAAAAATCAGCTTTCCCTTACTTCAGATCCTTTCCAATCTTTGTAGTGTGTCTTAAAGCGCTGTGTGTGTGTGGGGGGAATCGTCCATCCATCCTCTTTTTGCCCAGGTCTTTTAAATTTTAAGTGGATCTCCTTAAAAAAGCAATATATAAATTCAAGATAGTCTACAAGAGTTCAGTTACTCACGGTGTGAAGATAAGTAGTTAAGGGTTGAGATTCTCTAGTTGGAGTATAGCTCCTAGAATCAGCTGATCACACCTCTGCGCTCAATGACTGCCCATGAGCGCTCCCTTCCTGGTCCCTGCTATGGAGGGATGAGGGGGGTACTGCCGTACCCGTGAGTCCCCAAATCAAGCTCCCTGCAAGAGCCTCCCTCCGGGATGGCTCTTTGGAAGTCCGGATTGCTCCGGATCTCCTGCTGGGGCCAGGAGTCGCCCAGGAGCCCACCAAAGATGGTGTGTCACAAACCGAAAGTCTATGTACAAAATGTTTATGCCACCTCTCTAGGAACCTGCCTGAGGTGGCTTATAAAATAAAAACAATAAAAACAAAACAGTAAGAGATATTGATTCAAATCTAGTTTTAAAGGTAAGAACCACCACTTTTAATTGTGCCCAGAAACAAATAGATGTCAGTGGTGGAATCTAGGAGCCCAGGATCGGTTGTAATCAGGAAGATCATGGTTCACATTAGCTGTGGTAGTACTTCAGATTTTGGGGAGAGAGAGAGGCGAGTGGGGACAGCAAGATTCTCAGCAAGATTTAATATTCAGATAACAGATATGCTGTAATGTGTATTTAAGAACATTTGTTGTGGTTACTTTTAAATATCTCATAATAATTATGGTAACAGGGGTCCGTACTGGTCAAATGCTTTCCCCCCTTTCTATTGTACATAACAGCAGTTAATATGCAGGAGCAGGATACTCCTTGTGGTCCAAAATCTGCAGAGAGGACGGACAGAAGACATCTCCCTAATAGGTGTTCCTATGGGTTTGCAGGTGGGGTTATTTCCATGGAGATTTCCCCCCCCCCCCATGAATTTGTCTTGTCTGGTTTCAGTATTCTAAATGTTAATTCACTAAGAGAAAAGACTGACTAGTGGTTTTGATGCTGAGCAGCAAATGTATTGCCATCCTAAACTGAACAAACCCGTGTTGTAAACCTAGTGGCTGTTTTTCATGTGCAGGCTAAAGGAACACGTGCAATTCTACAAGACTGAAGAGGAGAAGATTTTATTGCCACACAATATGAAAGTGATTGGCCATATAGAACATCTGGCTCTTACAATAGGGAATATCCCTGTGGACTGTTCTGCAGTGGTTACAGGTGAGTGTTGCATAGGCAGCTGAGAAGTCTATTGCAGTCATTTTTGGCTTGTTAAGAACATGGGTGAAGTTGGTTGATTGCCTTAAGCACAGGATCATCTGTTTTTCACAGTCTAGAGGCAGAGATTATTTTTCAGGGAGTTGAAGGATTGTGAATCATTGGTCTCCCAGCCAATGCTCCCTTCTAAGTTGTGGAGTCCTGTGAGCAAAAATTCTACTTTGGCCCCTGCCACACGGCAGGGAAAACACGAGGCGAAGTGCGGCTTTTAAAAGCCGTGCCAAAAAAGAAACGCCGCGGCGGGATCCCACGGATCCCGTTAGCCGCGCGCCGTTGCTCCCCGGCACGATCAGATGCCGGGGAGGAAGAGGCGAGTGGGAGGCTGCCTAACTGCGCATGCTCGAGCATATGCAGTTCGCCCGGGGGGCAGGATGTGCCGGCATAAGGACGCGCCAGCCGATCCCACGGCCGGCTTGAGGCGCTTCAATCGGAAGAACCACCCAGGTAGGTGGTTCTTTTTGGTGCGGGTTTTCGGCCGGGAGAGACAGATCGGAGACAGGCAGGCAACGATTCCCAGATGTTGCCGTGGGATCGTGCCCGTTTGATCCGCCCCCGTTCTGTCTCACTCCCGGACCAAAACCCCTCGTATGAACGGGGCCTTTGTGAGCCAGTGGCATTAACGTTGTGAGCAAGTGATTTGCCTACTGCATAAATTAGTTTGCTCTGGAGCCATCCTTCCTGTGCTAAGATAAAAATGTGTGAGCCAGAGGCTAAAAGACTGTGAGCTAGTCACACTAACTCAGCTTAGAGGGAACACTGCTCCGAGCCAAATTAATCCACAGGGGGTGGTCCATCCTTTGGCTCTAGAGCATTTGTCTTTCATGCCTGAGGTCACAGGTTCAATCCAAAGCATCTCAGGCAACAGGGAAGGGGAAGAATTCTGCTGTCACCTCAAACAACACAAAGCTCCACAAGTCCTGTTGATTAGAGGTGAAAGCAGAATGTGTATAAAACCCTCTAACAAATCCCTCTTTCAAACTTCTTTTAGCTCTGCCTCTGGCAACCTAAAGATACAGGGTGGGCTTCAGCAAGAAGCATTCTTTTTGCCGCTAATATCTAATTGCAAGCATATGCACTTTTTATATATCTGAAATTGCACGTGTGCCTTTTAGAAATGCTTGTCTGAGACTTAGCCAAAAGCTAAGCTGTGTTCCTGGAACTTAATTTGACCACACAAGTTTAACCACTGACAATGCTTTCTTCGAAAAACTGAAAGTACCGAACACAATAATGTGTCTGAGCAGGTATAAACTGAATTTCCTTTACCCTCCAGTAAGTGCAATTAGCTGTATGATTGTGAGGTAAAGGGTGGGATTTCAAAGCTGTGTAGGCCAATACTTCCAGGTGGTATTAATGCCTCTCAATTTATATGAAGGTTTGTAAGATTCTCTTGTTGACTTATTAAGGTCTCTGCTGAGGCCATTAAATGCATATCATGGAAGCACTGGTTTCTGATCATCAGTCGCCTGGGATATCGGCCCAGTGCCTTGGCTATGACAAGGCTCGTGTTTAGATTCAGCAGCCCTTCCAGATGGTCATGGTGTTTAGCAGCACATATAGATGGGACAATTTATATTGTGGCTGGTCTACTAAGAAATATCATGTTAACAGGAAGGGAGGTTTTGCTCTGGATCCTTTCCTCCAGCATCTTGGGATGTAACCAGGACTTTTTTGGTAGAAAAAGCCCAGCAGGAACTCATTAGCATAATAGGCCACACCCAACAGCAGAAACTCATTAGCATATTAGACCACACCCCTGACAGCACAGCTCATTGGCATATTAGGCCACACCCCCGTGTTACCAGAAGTGTGCTCATTCAGCCACACCCACTTTTTGCTTCTTATTCTGTTTACCTTGTTTGTTGTCAAAACCCAGGGCTTTTTTGTAGCAGGAACTCCTTTGCATGTTAGGCCACACACCCCTAATGTAGCCAATCCTAATGAGTTTCTGCTGTTGGGTGTGGCCTATTATGCTAATGAGTTCCTGCTGGGCGTGGCCAACTTGGAAGCCAGCCGGAACTCCGTTCCTGTGCGTTCCTGCCCAAAAATAGCCCTGGATGTAGCTAGAGGAAGTTGAGAGGGGGAGGCTTTTGCAGATTTCAGGGGTCTGAGGTTCCACAGCTGTCATTAGAATCTTGCATTTGTTGTGAATAAAAACGTCCCTTTCTGGATCTTTTTTCCCCTCAGAAGACGATGAGAAACACTTCACTCTTGGGTTACAGACACTGAAGTCTTTGAAGGTAAAGCTCTCCTTTCTCTTAGTCTGGTGGTCGTGTTTTTCCTGTTACCAAGGAGATGACAACTTCTCCTTTCATTTATTTTCTTATATTTATATTCACTCTCTTTCTAGTGTGTGATAAATATGGAGACGCATCACCTGGTCCTGGGAAAGTCAGACAGGGAAGAAATCCCATTTGTTGGTAATGTCTCTTCACATGAAGAGAAGTGAGTGTATAATTTTAAAGTTGTGTTGACTTTAGGAACAGTTCGTGAAACCAAGCTGGCATGGTGAATGATGAGTAGATATTGGCTGCGACTGGCATTGACATGTAGTGGAGGGGTTTTGCGACTGTTCACCAGTTGTCTAACTAGACAAGCTTGTAGGGGGGGGGACTGTCTGGGATAGCTCGTGGTTCTGTGTCAGAACACCAACTTTGCATGCAAAAGGTCCCATGTTCAGTCACTGGCATTTCTAGATAAAGAATCTCAGAGCCAAATCAGATGTCCAACCCAGAGATACTTCCGCCACTTTAAAGCCTAAGAAGGCAATTTAAAAATGCCATGGGGGATTGATCCTGCTTGATCCTGCAGCACAGTGGGATGGCAGGGCTCTTTTTGTAGAAAAAGCCCAGCAGGAACTCATTAGCATAATAGGCCACACCCAACAGCAAAACTCATTAGCATATTAGGCCACACCCCGGACAGCACAACTCGTTAGCACATTAGGCCACACCCCCATGTTACCAGAAGTGTGGTCATCCAGCCACACCCACCTTTTGCTTCTCATTCTGTTTACCTTGTTTGTTGTCAAAACCCAGGGCTTTTTTTGTAGCAGGAACATCTTTGCATGTTAGGCCACACACCTCTAATGTAGCCAATCCTAATGAGTTTCTGCTATTGGGTGTGGCCTACTATGCTAATGAGTTCCTGCTGGGCGTGGCCAACTCGGGAGCCAGCCGGAACTCCGTTCCTGTGCGTTCCTGCCCAAAAATAGCCCTGGGGATGAGCCAATCTCCCCCCCCCCGCCACCATTAGTTCATGAGCAGTAACGACAGCTGGATGTGTGTGGGAGCAATCACCTGACTGACCAATGTTGGGTGTTAATGACATGCATGATTCCAGACAGCAAGACACGTTCCACAGCCACCCATAGACATGGTTGTCCTTTCCGCGTGTTTTTGCTTCCTATTTGTGCATATGATTAACATTTGACGTTCCCATCTCCCATTACATTCTGAACTGATTCACTCACTTGACACAATCTGCAGACAAAATAAATCATATAAATTGGTCACCCATGTGTGTGCTCGACAGCTTTGGATATGAATTGGCTAAATGTACTGGATCTGATCCAATGTCAAGAGATATGGGTGTGTGTGTTTGTAACTTTCACATTGGGATACCTATTTTTAGGGAGTGCTTGGCACACATTCCAGTGTTAACACGAATGCTTCCAAGAGGAGAAAAAGTGAGGCAATAATTCATATCGATGGGACCATTTCTGGAAGATGTTTTTGAGAAAAGAGAGTGATGGTATTGCAAAGAGACGTACCTGATGACACAGCCTGTTTGCATGAGAGTTGATGTTGTTATAACATGGGTTAGGCGTGGCGGTGCCCTTTCCCTCTGTTAACACTGTGATCAGCCGTTAGCAAAAGGATAATTTAATCCACAGATTGAAAAAAAAAACCTGTGAGGTGCCGTACTTGCTAAACAGTTATTTCCTAGGGCACATCCTCATGGTAGCCACAACTTTCACATTGGGATACCTATTTTTAGGGAGTGCTTGGCACACATTCCAGCGTTAACACGAATGCTTCCAAGAGGAGAAAAAGTGAGGCAATGATTCATATCGATGGGACCGTTAATACCCTCTTTCTGGAAGATGTTTTTGAGAAAAGACAGTGATGGTATTGCAAAGAGACTTACCTGATGACACAGCCTGTTTGCATGAGAGTTGATGTTGTTATAACATGGGTTAGGCGTGGCGGTGCCCTTTCCCTCTGTTAACACTGTGATCAGCCGTTAGCAAAAGGATAATTTAATCCACAGATTGAAAAAAAAAACCTGTGAGGTGCCGTACTTGCTAAACAGTTATTTCCTAGGGCACATCCTCATGGTAGCCACCTGCGCTCCTGGTTCAGTTCTGTAGCACACAACTGGAAGCCTGGGAAGTGTCCCTGGAAAAGGCAGGTACCTTTTTCCTCCAGGATCCCTTGTGCTGGCCACGATGCCTACGCAGGCCCTTGCTATTACCCCTGTCAGCAGAGTGGGCAGGCTGGGAAGCAGCATAGGTTGTGGGCCCCTCTGCTTTCATGGCATGTGTGGGTTGGATCCATTGCATGAACACATCCAGTCCCCTAAGAGATCCGCTATGATAAACATTTGCTATGATGTTGAGAGATCAAAGCTTGCAAATCAAGGGAAAAAAAACAAGAGGAGGAGCTCTGATGAGAGAACTGTTGTTAATCTTCTCTTTTCAGTGCTTCTGAGGCATGAAGAGAATGCACCGTTGGTGTCGGAGGGAGAAGACTGCATGATTGATTGCATATAATGGAAGAGCAGTGGTTGACACTTGTAACCTCCTCCTCCTGCTAGACGACAACTAGATTATAGCGGAATGAAATGATGGGTATTAGGAAAGAGCGTTAGACATTCACTTCATACAACAGAGTTCTGGAATCTGGACAGTGGTCTTGTAAATGCAGATCATAACAACTGTGTATGGCATTTTTTTCAAATATGGAATTATGTTTCTTTTTCTGTTGCAACCCTCTGTTTTAGTGTGAATGGATTAGTGAAATTTATGAACTGCCATTTATGAGAAGGGAAATAAAAGGACTATTTTATAACTTCCTCTTTGGAATTAACAGTGTTTAGTCTCTGGGAATCAGACTGTTAAGAAAGTATTTTTCAATAAGGAATGATTTATAGATGCTAATTGAAGATGGTTGGCTTTAAAGCAGTTGCAGAAAGACCTGCTCATGTTGAAATAACGCCAAGTAACCATGCATTCCGGCCCTCACATTAGAGACAAATGTTAGTTCTTTCAGTGAGTTAGTGCTACCATAGAGCAATTGTTGCTTGCAGTATATACGTTCATTTCACTATTGTCCCTGTTCATGGGTTTGCATAGTTTGGGGGGGGGAATTGAGGGGGAAAATTCATAACATTTAAATCTGGGGATGTAGTCGTTTTTGTGGTGTCTAGTACCACTGAAGCATCCTGGCACTTTTCCCACTGGTGCGAGATGGAGACCGGAACACCATGCTTGATCCCCTTCCACATTGCAGCCCCATTCTGTGCGGCTTTTTGTGCATGCAGGACCTACAATTGCTGGCTTTTCAGGAGTCAAAGCAGCCTCTGCCAGCTCTTGGGCCAGTAGAAAAGCTGATAGGATCCAACCCCAAATATTCACTGTCACAGATGTTGTGAAATGTCAGTACTTAAATCTCTCTCCCATTCAACCATGTAAGAATGAGGATTCAACTCCACAATGTCTTTATGTACCCCTGACCTGGATAGCCCAGGGTAGCTTGATCTCATCAGATCTTGGAAGCCAAGCAGGATCCAGCCCTGGCTAGTATTTGAACGGAAGACCTCTAAGGAATACCAGGGTCATGACACAGAGGCAGGCAATAGCAAACTACATCTGAAGTCTCTTGCCTTGAAAGCACTACGGGGCTGCCATAAATCAGCTGTGACTTGATGGCAAAAACTTTTTTGTAAAAAACCCCAGTTCCTTTCATATCTACTTATAACTTAAGTGTCTTTGAATTGGACCCTACTTATCCAAGATTCAAAATTAAACAGATAACAATACGTTTGATTTGAAAATATGGATAAAAGAGAGGGACAGCATCCTGATTTCCAAATATGAATACGAAAGAGTCTGACGTTTAACTATATTTTCAGTTCTTGAAATGTTTTCCAAAGGCAGACCTGTTATTTTTTTTCCATTATAAACTTCTAACAGAGAGAGAAAGATTGGGTCCCAGATTTGATCCGTTCTATATCCAGCTTCTTATAGATGCAGAGTTAGTTGGATTTCTTGATTTTTTTCTGGAACTGTAAACAAGGATGCCAGCCTCCAGGTGGGGCCTGGGGATCTCCCAGAATTACAGCTCATCTCCAGGCAACCGAGATCAGTCCCCCTGGAGAAAATGGATGCTTTGGAAGGGGGGAGCGGCATGGCACTGTACCCCACTGAGGTCCCTGCCCTCCCCAGGCTCCACCCCCAAACCTCCAGGAGTTTCCCAACCTGGAGCTGGCAACCCTCCCCCCCGGGGGGGGACCTGGCAACACTAGAAAGTATTGCAAGAGAATATCAATATTCCCTTGTTACAATACTATTTTAGAGCCTGCTAGCTGCTGCTAATGTCACTGTATCCTAGTATGTTATTAAATTCACGAAACCCTGCAACCCTCCTTCCCTTTTTCATTGTAATAGCGTGTTTTTTACTAGTCCATAAAAGTATAAATTGATCATTTTATTGTACTATTTATTTGAAATATGTATAATCCCCTCTCTCTGTTCCAGTTTCCAAAGGGATTGATTCTTTCATATGGGTAAGATTTTTGTAACGCTTCAATACCCTGCAGAATCTGTTTCAGCAGAGACAAAGGAAACGAGTGCATACGATACACGTTCACCGTGCGTACCTCTGGATACCACTTTTAACTCTCTTAAAAATTGTCTGCTTCCTGTCAGAGTTCCTTTGGGTTCATTCTTCCTAATGGCATGACTGCTGGAGTTTTCCAAGCAAGACAATCATTACACAGTTTGATTATTTTGTTCCTCACAGGCCATTGAAAGTCACCACCAGAGATAATATAATATAATCACGCCTATTCAGACAAATGTTTAAACATTCTAGACCTTGGCTGTTGAGTCACAGAGAAAAGAAGAATCATTTTCTCCCTGCTCTTGGAGCAGCAGCATTGCTCAACGATTCTCTTGGCAAACAGGAAACTGTCATGTCTCAAGGTTAATGCAGTACGCTACACTGCACTCTCTGCCTCTCTTCTGGGACATTTCTTTGTCTCTGCAACTCTACCTGGATGGTGATCTCTCCAGCTAACATTCCTTAAGCCTTTTACTGCCAGGAACTGGCCTTATTAAATTGCCAGGTTCTAGGCAGTCCTTTTGGAGCACCCACTTGGCAGGCTGAAATCACTTCCAAATGCAGGTCCAAGCACACAGCTTGTGGTTCTCTGATTATATCAGCA